GGGTTGGGTAGGGGCGGAGAGGGGAGGGACGGCCTGGTCGCCCTAAATCCTAGGATCTTGCCATGGTCTGTGAATCTAGGGGCAGGTCTTTTGGTGTTGTGTGCGGGGCAAATCTGCATGCGAGCATGAATGGGGGCTTTTATTAAAGTGACCATTTGATAGATCGTGGTCAACGCAAGACGGGAGCCGCGCTGACTGCGAGGCAATCATTCCCCTCTGCGTCCCCCGCCCCCCGCAGGCCTGCCGGCCCTCCGCCATCATCGACCTCATCCACTCCGCCGAAAGCTGGACCGTCACCCTGGGCGGCGCCGCCAACGGCAGCAGCAGCAGCGGCGGCGGCGGCGGGCACGGATGTGGGGCAGCGTCGGCAGCGGCGGCGCCGGCGCCGGCGCCGGGGCCGCGCGACTGCGAGCGGTGCGGCAGCATCAGCAGTCAGCCGGTGTGCAAGGCGTGCCTGCTGCTGGAGGGGCTCAACAAGGGGCTGCCTCGGCTGGGGATATCCAAGGTCAAGGGCGGCGGCAGGGCGGGGGCGGCAGCGGCGGGCGCAGCAGCAGCAGGCGCGGCTGCGGCGGGAGGAGCGGGAGAGGGCGGCAGAGGGGGGCTGCACGGCTGCGATTCGGGCCGGGGCAGCGAGTGCAAGGCGGGCGGCGCTGCGGCAGTGGTAGGAGAAGAGGGAGTAGCGGCGGCGGCTGCGGCGCGGCGGGCAGACGGATGCTGCGGCGGCGGGGGCTGTGCGGGCGGCGGCGCCGATGGCGACGGGGCAGGGGCGCCCGGCGCCGCCGAGGCGCAGAGAAAGCGGGCGGCGGCGCGGCGGCCAGTGGCCATTGCTTACGAGAGCGAGGGCAGCTGACTGTTGTAACACTTCAGCCACAACACAATGTCGCCGCCACCCTGTGCCCAAGCGCAGAACTTCTTCACAAACCTGTTTGCTGTGAGGCTATCAAACAGCAGCTATGCAAACGTCTTCCACCGCGCAACGCCCTGCCCAGGGGATCCCAGCTGTAAATGACAGGGACACGATCCTCATGTGTACACACATGCACTGCCTCCTTCGTCCTGTCATCACAATCGGCAATAGCCTCCCAGATGGTACAGCTCTTGGACAGCTGCCAAGGAATATGGGTGTTGCTTGCTTTGTGGCCGTTCAGGTGGAGCTGCATTCGCATGACCCTAGCTTTTGTGAAAACTCATCAACCCAACTTGTGAGCCTGAACCGTGGCAATGATGGCCAATGTGAGCCTGATTTTTGTGGCGATGCTGGAACAGTGGAAATTCTCGAGCATTCATGATGAAATGTGATTGCCAGCAGCAACTGTTATCTCAAGTAATCGCCGGCAGAGTGCAGCCAATGCAGCCACATTCTGGGCCGTGTCAATTTTTGCACTTGGTGACTGGCACAGGCAGCCTGCAAAGGAACACATGTACCAAATTAAAGGCGTGAAGTATGGAGTGTTTGCAGCAGAAGCGGCATGCCTGCCTTGTGACCTATCTGGGTCACCAGGTTGTATGCATCGGTGGATGTGCCGGCAGGGAGAGATGTGCTACGGTCCGCAGCGCCTCGGTGGCCTTTAGCATCACAGTATCAAGGGCGATTTAAATCTACGGACGCTTTAAATCCACAGACGGAGGGGCGTGACGAAGTGTCGACGTCGCGGCGACGCTGCGCTGACCAGTCAGAGCACGCAGCGCCTGCAGCGGGTGCCGAAGAGGCGCGACGCAGTGATTCCAAGGAACGGGCTCGCATGGAGTCCCCTTTGACACGCCGTGAATATCCGGGCGCTTTTCAAAATCAATCGCGGCGTCCTGCACAAGGTCACCGTGTGCTCCGAGCCACTCGATCTCTGCGCAATGCACCTGCAGGCTCGGCCCAGGGCCGTCTCATCGGCCCCCAGCACCCGGCGTTCAGCAATCAACCGCAGCAGGATTGTAGTTTGTGATGCGGCGGACAAAAAGAAGGTCATAGTGGTCGGTGGCACTGGCCGGGTGGGCTCAGCGACCGCGTCCTCGCTCCTGGAGAACTTCGGTGACCAGTACGACGTCTCCGTGTCAGGCAGGACTCGGGAGAACTTTGAGAAGATCGTGCAGCTGCGGCCGCGGCTGCAGGGGGCGCGGTTTGTCCCATGCGACATCACCGACCTCGAGGCCGTCAAGGTAAGTCCACAGCGGTGCTGCATCGGTCATTTATTATCGTAATCACATTGGAATGACCAGCCGGAGGACCAGGCGGAGGCCGCCTCGGCGCCAGGCAGCTGACCGTGGACTGACCGGGCGCTGGGCAGTGATCCGCACTCAACAAAGCGCCCAGCGCCCCAACCCTTCTCGGGTCAAATCTCAGTTTTCGCAACCGATTGACACCACCCCAGGCCACCATCGCGGGCGCCGACCTGGTCGTGCACACCGCGGGCCCGTTCCAGCGGTCGTCAAACTTCAACGTTGTCGAGGCGGCCATAGATCTCAAGATCCCATACATGGACGTCTGCGACGACACCACCTACAGCGAGGGGTGAGCGCATCACACACATGACTTCCACATATGCAGCTAGCGGGCGGCCGTCGATGACGAAGAGCAGGGGGGTGGCCTTTTGGGGGCTGTGAGAGGCCTGGGCACGCGGTTATGCGACGTGGCCGGGGCCGCCGAAGCTTCATAGGGGCATGGCGCCGCACACGGCGCGGTTCGCATAGCCGCGCGCTTGGTGGTGGCTCGGGCTGAAACCATACTGCGTTTGTGGCGGCTGCGCTTGGGCGCGGCTGGTTGGACGCGTTAGGAGGCCTGACGGCTGCGCCCTGCATGGATGTCGGCACGGCCGGCGCCGCAGCGCACAGCGCGGCGACCCGCGACAAGCCGTCGCTTTGAAATGTATCCGGGAACTCTGTTCACACCATATGGGCTCGATACGTGACACATGAAAATTTTACCAAGGCGCACGTCCTACCCGCCCTTTGAGCCACGCCCCGACCTTTCCACCCCAAGCCTTTGGTCATCCGTTGCTCAACTCCCCCCTCCAAACACTCAACACCCAGCACACCCCCGTCTCGTGTCTCCTGCTCGCATCCCATCCTGAGGCCCCCTCTCCTACAACAAACCACTACTTCTCAAACCGTAGGGTCAAGGCGTACTCTGACCGTGCCGCGGCCGCGGGCGTCCCCGGGCTCACCACCGCGGGCATCTACCCGGGCACCTCCAACGTGATGGCGGCCCACATCCTGTCCATAGCGCGCGGCGAGTACGACGAGGAGTGGCGCTACAAGTGAGCTGGGGCTGGGGGCCGGCCGCACGGCTGGAGCTCGCACAACCGGAGCGGCAGCGGCGGCTCGGCTGCGCCCAGTGCAACCCAAGGGGCCCTGGCAGGCTCAGCTCTGATTTTGATTTCTAAACGAGGTGCAGGCTCACCGGCCCCTCAGGCGCTGACCGCATCAGGCGTGTTGTGCTCGCTGCGCCCCCTTCTGACTTGGGCTGGGGGCCTGACAGGGGGCCGTGCCTGCGACGCACGTCCTCATCCAACCTGCATCTCAGCAACACCAAGCGGCCCGCTCGCTCTGCCCTTGACCCGACCGCGAC